AGTTGTATGTCATAGTTGCACATCCTTCTAGTTGCTGTATGTGGGACACAGCCTCAGCATGGCCGGAGAAGCGGTGCGTTGGTGCACGCCCAGGATCCGAAGCTGGGCCGCCAGTAGCGGAGCACGCACACTTAACCGCTAAGCCACGGGGCTGGCCCCAGTAGTCTGCTCCTCTTGAGGGCAGGGCAGGGCCTGCTCTGATTCTTCCTCCATCCCCAGCTTTGCTCAGCAGGTTGCTGGGCATAAAGGATTTGGCTGGTGGGAAGAGAAAGCAGAAAGCTCCCCTAAGGCAGGGCCTAGGGTGTGAACTCACCCATGGGAGATCTTGGCCACCTGGACGCTGGGGATGAGGTACTCTCTGCCTGAGACTTCCGACAGCACCATCCACCAGTCTCCATTCCTGGAGAGAGAAAGGAGAGGGGACCTCTCTCAGAAGGGCCAAGGCCCCAGGAACTGCTCATTTGGGATTCACAAGGACCCTCTAGGCAGGATCCTGTGGCCCCCTGTCCCACCCAAGTTTCCCAGGTCTCCTTGCACCAGCCAGGCCAGGGACCTCTTGGTGGCAGATGACATGATTCAGGCCCCTGCAGGCCTTGCCCACCCACTGCTCCTTCCGCAGGGGTGTCACGCAATCCCACCATTAGGGCCACGTGGGAGCTCGCATCAAGGCCATGCTCTTTTCTCCTGGAGGGAGGGACCCCTTCTCCCTTTAGGGCACCTTCAGGTAACCAGGGGGAGGGAGTAGAGCACCCCACCTGGTGCCCCGGAAGGACTTACTCAGAGACGATGGTCAGTGGCTCCCCCAGTCTCAGTGACAGCTCTGCCTGCTCACCTACCGGGAAACTGCCCAGGGCCACAGCTGTGGCCCTGCTCCTGTCTGGACAGAGAGACAGAGATGCTCACCCTCTTGGCCAGCCCTCCTTCAGCTGCAAGGTTTGGTGAAGTGTGGGCTCCCACCATCAACCCTCCCATGTCTGCTGAGATCCCAGGAGGGAAACTCTGGAATCTGCAGCTTTTCAAAACAGCAGGGCTCTGCAGACCACTGGGGGTACCCAGACATCTCTTGGGGTCACCTCAGGGAAAAGGTTGATGTGGCAAGAAGATCCCCTTTTATATACAGATCTTTACAGAAGATTTTGACAAAAGGATTCTGCTGCTCAGCAAACTTAAAACCTACGGCTCCAAGCAGGTATCAGCCCAGATCTCGGAGCTCAGCTTCCGGAAGGCGTTGATGAGATGGGCCCTGGATGGACCAGCTCTGAGGGCTGGGGCCCTGTGGTGGTCACGGGAGGACAGGGGCTCCTGGGGGGGGCCCGTGAAGTCACAGACGTGGACAAACTTTGTAACTCTAGAGTGCTGTGCACGTGGACAGAGTGACTCTCCCGCGGTCTTTGTCCAGAGCGGTGGGTGTAGTTCTGTGCTGCCCCCTGAGAAGAGGTGCAGCCCTGGGGCCCACTGTGCCTGGCCTGGCCCAGAGCAGGTGCCCAGCAGGTGCATGTGGCCCAGTCAAGTGTCCTGGTCACACACCTGCATCTCTGACGGAGCACCTGCATGCATCATCTTGGCCCTCACGAGCCCCTGAGGGAGTCTTCTCTAGTCAGCCTCACTGCACAGCGAGGTAACAGGCTCGGCAGCACGCTCCGCCAGGAGCGAGGGCACAGCTCCTCCGCCACAACACCCTGTCCCTCCCCTCCCATGGGGCACTGTTGGGGTGGGTGACCATTGTGGCTGCTCTCAGGCCCAGGTTGGGGGCACTGGGCTGGACAGCAGCAGCACATCTCCGAAAGGACCCAGACTCCCTGGGAGGCTGATGCTCAGAAAAGGAGTCACAGCGCCAGAGGACCCCACGCCACCCCCATGCCCCTGCACCATCACATCAGGACTGGTCCCGAGGACATGGGGGCCATGAGGCCCGATTTCAAGGCTGGAGAGCAGGCGGCCAGCGGCTCCCTCAGCATAGGATGCTCACCCCCTCGCCCACCTCAGGGAATAGCCCACCCAGTCTAACTAGACCTCCTGATGCCCGTCCAGGCCTTCCTGTCCTGAAAACCCTGCCCTCCGTGGGCTGCTGAGAACCACTTCACCTGCACCCCAGTGTCCCTCCCTTCCTTCCTCCTTATCCTGCTTCAGTAGGGGTCTCTGTAACAAAGGGGAAGGAGCGCCAGAGACTTGTCAGCATACCATTGTGGTAAGCTATGAAAAGCAGTCAAGGTCAGCAAGAAAGGTTTATCTGTCTCCTAGATGCTCCTGAAGGGGCCAAGGCCTGAGAGGGCTCTGGGATGCCCTCCAGACAGAGCTGGGGCCCCGGGAGGGGGAGCAGATGGACAGACAAGGACCCAGGGGATGGGTGGGACAGAACCAGAGCTGGACACTGTGGAGGCTGAGGGCCTCTGCTCTGGGTGGACATGTGAAGAACAAGACTGATTCTGGAAATGGACTGGTTCCCGCATGTCCTTGCAGAGACCCCCTCCGGGGTGACCCAGGACTGGAGCCCAGGGGTCTCTCCTTCTCTGAGCCGTCTGCAGCACAGGGCCTGGCCATCCACAGAGCAGGGAAATACCTGAAGCCCAAACAAACGATGCAAGCAAGTCTTGTAGAGGGCGTCCTCCGACAAGGGCGGACCCAGGAGGCCTGGGAGGGCCCCTTCCCCTCCTGGAAGCCCTGGCCTTGCACCCCTAGGAGTCACTGAGCTGCTTGTGCTGGCCCCCCGATTGGCCCTCTCCACCTGGCCAACTCACCCTCATCCTCGCTCCCTGGAGAAATGTCCCTTCCAAGGGGAAGCCTTCCCCAACAAGCCCCTCAGCACACACTCTGGGTCAGAGTCCCTTGAAACACACTGTTGCCAAAATCTAACACAATTGTCATTGATTATTAGTTTAGTGCCTGTCTCTGGCACTTGACTGTCCCTGAAGGGAGGGGCCGTGCCTGTCTAGTCCGCTGCCGTGTCCCCTGGTCCTGGCACAGGCCTGGCAAGTGGCAGAGCCTCAGTTGATTTTGGATGGATGCAAGGCTGGTGGACAAACACAGGACTTACGGAAGGGGTTGCCCCAAATCCATGCTCCTGCTGGGACTAAGGGTAGACCCACCGAGAGAGGCCCCTCCTTCCCCCTGGAGACACTGGCAGAGGGGGGAACGCAGTCCCCCTCAACTCCCACGGGCAGGGAGGACCCCAGGACACCTGCCGGCGGGGGTGGGGGGAGTGTCATCCCCCTCAGCAGTCTGGGCATGACTCAGAGCAGCCTCAGGCTGCTGCCTGTGGCTAGATTCAGAGGAAAGGAGGTGGAGGTCTGTGTGGTTTCCAGCTCTCTTCCTGTGGGGCCTGGGGGCCCCAGGCTCGTGGAGGGATGGAGTGGCTAAAGAGAGGCAGCTGCCTCCCCAGCAGGAGTCCCTCAGGGCCCAGGGCTCTGAGGCCCGGGGGCCTACCGGCAGGCTGGTGCAGAGAGAATACTGAGGGAGGGGAAGGAAGCCCCAGCCACTGCAGGGGAGTTTCCAGATTGGGGACAGCTCCTGCCCAGACACAGACATCCAGACATTTGGCCCTGCAGTCTCCTAGTTCTGCTTAAGTGTGTGTCCCTGTCCCTCCTCCTCCAAGCGCTGCTTGGTTTAAAGTAATCTTGTTATCTGTGATGGTTGATTTTATGTGTCAGCGTGGCTAGCCCACAGTACCAGATATTTGGTCAAACACCAGTCTAGATGTTGCTGTGAAGATATTTTTAGATGAGATTAACCTTTACATCAATAGACTTTTTTTTTTTAATTTTTTTTTGTTTATTTTTTTCCCCCAAAGCCCCAGTAGATAGCTGTATGTCATAGCTGCACTTCCTTCTAGTTGCTGTATGTGGGAAGCGGCCTCAGCATGGCCGGAGAAGTGGTGCGTCGGTGCGCGCCCAGGATCCGAACCCGGACCGCCAGCAGCGGAGTGCGCGCACTTAACCGCTAAGCCACGGGGCCGGCCCTACATCAATAGACTTTGAATAAAGCAGATTACCCTCCATAATGTGGGTGGGCCTCATCCAGTCACTTGAAGACCTTAAGAGCAAAAGACAGAGATCCTTCGAGGAAGAGGGATTTCTGCCTGCAGACTCAGGACGGCAGCATCCAACTCTTCCCCGGGTCTCCAGCCTGCTGGCCTGCCCTGCAGATTTCAGACTTGCCAGCCCTACAATTGCATGAGCCAATTTCCTAAATCTCCCTCTCTTTCTCTGTCTAGACACCCACACCCACACCCATACCCACACACACACACCCACCCAACCCTCTCTTGGTTCTGTTTCTCTGGAGAACCCTGATGAATATATTATCAAAACCCCAAGTCAGGATGTGATTTGAGAAACGATTTGTGGACTGTTTGGGGGAATAAGAAACAAACTGGGAGCTTCAGTTTTGACATCAAAATATTAGAATTTCTAGGATGTTTTGATTATCCAATTGTCCTAAAAACTGGCATTTTTAGTCAGGACTATCTTAGAGAGTCACAGTTATACATTCAGCATACGCATTGTAGATGCTAATTTTTTCCAATTACCAAAGCCCTAATTTTGCTTCACGTATTCACAGCACCTCTCAGGATAAGAGGAGACGCTGGAGCAACGCTGTCCAGTAGAAGTTTCTGTCATAAAGGAAATGTTCTACAATTATGCTGTCCAATAAGGTAGCCACTAGCTCCATATGGCTATTGAGCACTTGAAATGCAGCTAGAGTGACTGAGGAGCTGAATATTTCATTTTAGTTAATATTAGTTTAAATTTAAACAGCTGCATATGGCTAGCAGCTACTATAAGGGAAAGTGCAGCTTTTTTTTTTTTTTTTGCTGAGGAAGAGTCACCCTGAGCTAACATCTGTTGCTAATCTTCCTCTTTTTTTCATTGAGGAAGATTCGCCCTGAGCTAACATCTATGCCCATCTTCCTCTACTTTGTATATGGGGTGCCACCACAGCATGGCTGAGAAGTGGTGTAGGTCCACACCTGGGATCCTAACCTGGGCCACCGAAGTGGAGCACGCCGAACTTAACCACTAGGCCATGGGGCTGGCCCAGTGCAGTTTTGGAGAGCTACAGAAGTGGGGTTGGTCTTAGATTTGCCGGCTCAGTCTGGGAATAAACTGGTTGAGGAGGAGAGAGGCCTTGGGAGACGCCAGGGGGACTATCACGCCCTCCCGGTTAGCACCTGGCACTCTCTCACATTTTCTAGTTGATCTGGTTGTTTAATGTTCCGACTGCTGAAATGTGAGCCCTACAAGAGCAGGGCCCCTGCCTGGACGGTTCCCTGAGTGGGGTCTCAATGACACTTGAAGCTGTGTTGGCGTGGCTGGTCAGGCAGGCCTGCAGAGGCAGCAATGTCGGGCTGTGCGGCCTCACGGTGCCTGGGAAGGCCTGGCTGCCCCGGGCCCCACGGCCTACCTGCTTGCGCGGGCACAGGGCCCTGGCCTTGGACAGAGGAGCTTGGGCTTGGGCTCAGGCTCGGGCTCCGCAGGGCTTTCCCTCTGCTGGGCTGACTTCCCATCGTTCCTCAGCAGAACTCTCAGAAGCACATCGCTGAGAGAAATCTGAAAGAGATGTTGCGATTGGAACAGGGCCGTGGCTCCGGCCTGACCCCCAGACACCCTCCCTCCCCAGCTGGGCCCTGCACCTCCTCTGGCCCAGGCTCCAGCCCCTCCCCCAGACTAGCAAGGCTCTGCAAACTGGACTCTGTTTTCTCTGCCTCCCATCTTTTCTTCGCTGCAGCCATGCTCAATTCTTTATTTCTGGGCCTTAGCGTGTGCGGTGTGCCCTCCTATTGGCTGGAATGTTCTTTTTCCCCTCAGGCCTGTCTGGATCCCTCCCTTCCCCAGGAAGCTTTCCTTGAATTCCCCAGCCCTCGATGACCACTCCTGTGGTTACTCAGAACCATTTCCTGACTGGGGATCACATTCTGCCCCTGGGTGGCAGGGACAATGGCAGCACAGAGTTCACTCCAGACATACCGGAACCCACGGCTGGGGTCAGAGGTGGGCAAGGGGGATGTGATGGGACCTGGGAGCTGATGTCACCACAAGCTAAGGTGACAGTGAGCACACTGTTATTGGTGTCATAGGGCAAAGTAGGATGACTGGGAGACTGTTATGACACAGTGATAATGTGCAAGGCTTTGGAGGATTGGCTGTCGAGCCACTTCCCCTCCCTTTGCCTCCGTTTCCTCATCTGAAAAATGGGGATAACAATACCCAACACATGGTCCGAGAGATAAATGTGTGAAAAGCCTGGGAGGGCCCACTTTTCCTTTATCAGGCCCTGAAGGTCACTTCACCAGAGGCCGCTCCAGGGAGCCTTCCCTTGTCTCTCTCTCGGCTCCCTGTTGCGTTCCTCCCCAAGTCTTACTTATTCATTTATTAGAGTGTTCACCTGTTTAATCTGCCATTATTCTAGAGCTCAGTGAGGACAAGGAGCTCTCTTTGTTTGCCTGTTTCCGCAGCATTTTGTGAGGCACCTGGCTCATAGCAGGCCCTCAACTCATGTTAACTAAATGGTTCTTAGCTCTTTGGACAGGTGTCTTATTCTTAGAATAATTTAAATTCCCGGGTTTCCAGGGTAATGCTGATTTCTCCAGACACTTGATTAAAGTGTTTTGGGGAGGTGGCTTCATCCTTTTCAGTAACAACAAGGCATCATTAACCAGTCTGGTTCCATTCCGCTGGTATTCATCCAGTCCCTCTCTGTGCCAGCCACCAGGGCACGGGAGGAGGAAGCCACACTCTTTCCCTGGAGGAGCTCATGGAATGGCACGGTGACATAGCGGGCTCCATCCTTGCCTTTGAACCCTTCACCACGCCTGGGTGAGGACGGGTGTCTGTCAATATCATGGAGGGACTTCCGTGGCCTCCCAGGCAAGAGCCTGAGGAGTAAAGACCCTGCCTTAGAAGACGGGACACCGTTCCACCTGTGCAGGTGAGTACCCTCTGTTCTGCAGTCTCGTATCATCGGCATGGGGACAACAGGACCTGCTTGCTGCTGCCTCGCCTGGGGAGTTCAGTATTCATGGGGACAGGAGCTCTTTAATATGAAACGGGCCCATCTTTAGGAGATGGCTCCTGGCAGCAACTCCCTGCTCAGACTTGGGATCCTGAAGCCTTAGCAGCCCGAGATGGTGCTGCTGCCTCCTGAGGAGGTCTCTGACTCCCTCACTCAGAGGGCACCCCTTTCACGTCAGGTTTTCAACATTCCCGCTGCTCCCTAGCCTTTCCTTTCCCCTGGGCTATGAGGCTCTGTGCTTAACTGTGCACACATGGGTCCAGAAAATCCTAGGGAGAGATCTTTCCTGGGCAGCTTGAGTGATTAATTCAGACCAACCAGGCTTGAGCTGTGTGACCTCAGGCAAACCCCGTAACCTTTCTGAGTCTCATCTGTGAATCAGGCATAATACCAACTCCACAGGGTTGTGAGGAGAAGTCGAGGCACCAGGCCCAGAGTGGGTGCTCAGTAAAGATTAGTTTCCTTTCCTCTCCTCAGCAAGACAAAGTCACCACAATCACCAACTGCACTAAACCCAGAAACTTCTTCCCACAGCAGGTGGAGCTGGGGGATGGGCCCAAGGGAGGTAGAGAGCCACACTCAGGCTAGAAGCCCCCAGAACTCTCTGCCAGCTCCCTACACCTGGTCTGGTCTCAAGGCCAGGAAGCTTCCTGGGGGTGAAATGAAGACCATCGGGTGGGCAGGTCCATAAGGAGAGAAGTGACTTTAAAAAAGTTTTTAAAAGAGAGAATCTAATCGTTAGTTACACAGTATTTGAGCAACTTAGTATGTGCTAGGCACTTTCTAGGGGACCCGAGCTAGTGGGTGGAAGCAAAGTTAGTAAAAGGCAGCTGAGATCAGCACACTGCCCACAATTGTTTGATCATCTCACTTGATCCTTTGAGAAGTCAGCAGCCTTTGAATCCCATTCAGATACAACAACTAAGGCCCAGAGAGGGTGACCTGTGCTCACTGCCACATAGCTGGTTAGTGCAGAGCTGGGTCTACAATCCACATCTTTGTGTTTTTGTGCTTCTGAAGATGATTTCTCAGCAGTGGAGGTAGAAGTGATGAATTTGGATTGAGCTAAAGGAGACCTCTCCCTTTCTTTCAACTGAGAAATATCACCCTTTTGAGAGGAACTGTAGGCTCGAGAGCTGAAAGTGTCTTCAGAGTATAATCCAGACTCCTCTCATTCACTGAGGCTGGGAGGCTGTGGCCCAGAGAGGGTCCTACAGCAAGTTGGTAACCAACTGGTCCCGAGAAGGGACCAGAAGGGGCATGAAGACAAGCTGGAGGGAATAATGTAATCCTCCAGAGGCAGTCGAAGCAGGAGGGGGAGGCTTCGGATCTTTTGGGGACCCTCAGAAACCACTTCCCCTCTCCTTGACCTTGACTATAAAGCCCACTCCTAGTCTGAGGGGACCATCCTTCCTCACGGTCCCAAGGCCATCGGAAAACAAAAGGAAGCATACTTACTGGTTTCCTGCCATCGGAGGCTTGGGGCGGGGGCTCAGCTTAGACACATGCTTCTGCCAGAGAGATTAGGGCTTTGGGGGCCCCTTCTGGAAGTCTGCCAACATCCTTAGTCCTAGGGCACCCAGAACCTTCCAGGCCTGGGAGAATCTTCAGACAGAGGCTCTCGGTGTCGCTTTGGGTAGCTCCGTATCTGCCTGTGGTCAGCAGTTTGTACACCTGTCGGACAGGAGATCTGTGCCTTAGGGATCCCCGACTGGGCAGCCCTCTCAAGCACAGCCGGGCCAGGGAAGCAGGCCCAGGGCTCTTTGAGCTCTGTCACAGGGCCTTGGGGCTCCCGGCTCACATCTGCAGGCTCTGTGGTTCTCACAACCACCCGTTTCCTCTGACGGCATCACAGACCATCAAGGAGCCACCTTCCCCAAGTTCCTGTTTCTGGGGGAGAAGCAGCTGCCTTGTCATGATGCTGGAGGGAGAGGCTTTTCTCTGGCTTTGTGGCTTGGTCTTGCCCAAGGAACACAGAACCGAGGTAAATGAGCACAAGTTTCCTACGCTTACCTGATCACAATAATCACCTGAGGGGCTGAATATCAGATTCCTGGGATCCTCCCACATCTTCTGAATCCAAGTCACCAGAGCAGCCTAGGAATCTGAATTTTAAACATTCCAAGAGAGTCCTCTGACTGGAAGTCTGGGAAGCGCTGCCTTGAAGTGATGTGTCCCAACCTTCAATGTGTATAGAATCCCCTGGAGATCTTGTTGAACAGCAGAGTCGGGTTCCGTGAGTCTGCGGTGGGGTTCAAGGTTCTGCCTTGCTGACAACTCCCAGGCGATACCCATGTTGCTGGTCTGGGCATCACACTTTGGTTAGCGAGACCTGGACAGTGCTTCTCCAAGGGTGGTACCCAGGCCAGCAGCCTCAACATCATCCGGGAATTTGTTAGATATGCAAATTCTCGGGCCCCATCTCAGATCTGCCTAATCAGAAACTCTATGGGTGGTGCTTGCAACCTGTATTCACAAGCCCTCCAGGTGATTCTGATGCACATCCCAAACTTGAGAATCACTCAGCAAAGGTAATCTCTGATGGAATTGCCTTTGATTGGTGTGTTACCTTCAGTCATTAAAATTTACACTAATAAAATCCCCAACTCATTAAAATCTAAATAATCACACCCACTTGCCGCCTTTCCTTTAGGGGGCTTAGTACTCCCGGAGACAGATGCATTTTTTTTTTCCTGAGGAAGATTGTCCCTGAGCTAATATCTGTGCCAATCTTCCTCTATTTTGTATGTGGGTTGCCACCACAGCATGGCCACCACTGAGTGGTGTAGGTCTGCTCCCAGGAACTGAACTCAGGCTGCCAAAGCAGAGCATGCTGAACTTAACCACTAGGCAATGGGGCCGGCCCTGGAGATACACGCTTTTTAACACAAAATGGCCCATTACACCGAAATAGCTCTTGCCTCCAGCTCAGACTACACAGCCTTTTCTGGGGCCTTGCCAGGCAGGGCACACTCCAGCTCAGGTCCTCCCTTTCTCCTGAGGAAGGTTGGTTTGAGATTTAACTCTGAGGGCACTTGGCACGGAGCTGAAGGAACCAGAGTGGAGGCGCATCCTCTGTAGGAAAGTTCTAACCAAGATGTTAGAATGGGTGACAGCCACTCAAGGATGTGGCCTGTGGCAGGGAGGGAACTGAGCACAGGCCCACCCTCCTGCTCCTGCCCGCACACCACTCTGACGTCCACCTTCTTGTTTTTTTTTTGGTGAAGACTGGGCCTGAGCTAACTTCTGTTGCCAATCTTCCTCTTTTTGCTGAGGAAGATTGTCCTTGAGCTAACATCTGTTGCCAGTCTTCCTCCTTCTGCTGAGAAAGATTGGCTCTCAGCTAACATCTCTGCCCATCTTCCTCTATTTTTTGTACATGGGACACCACCACAGCATGGCTTGATGAGTGGTGCGTAGGTCTGCGCCCAGGATCCGAACCTGCAAACCCCAGGCTGCTGAAGTGAAGTGTGCAAACTTAACCACTATGCCACCAGGCCGGCCGCTGTCCATCTTCTTATTTGACAGGCAGACTTTCAGACTGGCCTCAAGGTGATGTCTATGAAAGAGGTAGGAAGCAGGCAACGACCATCTCTGATCTTTTTTTTTTTAAAACTTGGAAGCAAGAGTGCTCTGGAACATTGCTTCTTCCTTGGTTTATTTTTTATTGGGGTCACACTGGTTTATAACACTGTGTAAATCTCAGTCTTCTGTATAGACTGCATCGTGTTCACCACCAAAAATCGTGTGCATCCATCACATACACGTGCCCCTGTACCCCTTCTGCCCTCCCTCCACCTCCTTCCCCTCTGGTAACCACCAGTCTGTTCTCGGTATCTATGTGTTTATCTATCTTCCACATATGTGTGAAGTCATACGGTAATTTTCTTTCTCCGCCTCACTCATTTCACTTAGCATAATACCTTCAAGGTCCATCCATCTTGTCACAAATGGCACAATCTTGTTTTTTATGGCTGAGTAGAATTCCATTGTGTATATATATACATACCAGATACATATATAGCGGGTCTCTTCTTTAAAAAAAATCCCACCATATACTCTCCCTTTCCACTCAGGGAGGCATTTAAGAATTAGGATTTAAAAGCCCAGATCTGCTGCTTATTAGTTTTGTGACCATTTGTAAACTAGTTACCTCTGGGCCTGTTGTCTCATCCATCAAATGGGACTAGCTTGTATCTCATTGGGTCAATAGAAGGAAACACAAAGGAAGGTGCTAAGGGCCCGGCCTATAGTAGGTGCTCAATGAAAGGCTGAATAAAATATGAAAATGCATTGATTTTGGAAGAACTGGGAACTTTCCAAGCCAGGTGACCTTGGCCAAATCACTTAACCTTCCTTTGCTGTTCCTTGTCTGTAAAACATACTGCCCACTTTGTGGAGTTGCCATGAGAACTGGGTAAGACGATCTATATGGAACATGAGTTTTACACCATCATCTTGTGTGGAGTCTACTTGGCCACTTCCTTGCCTCTCACAAAGCAGGCACCCCAATTTCTTTGGACTGAATAGGAAGAAAGGAAATAAAAATAAGGAATGAGTACGATAAGGACCAGTCAAGTGTAGTCAGCTGGGGCCTGACTCCAGGCACAAGGCTCAGGTGCGAAAGCTGACAACCATCCACACAGGGTGCAGCCAAGGGGTCTGGAGCAACATGGGTTTTAAGAGCAAGTGTGGCTATCAGACCACCTCCAGCTCTGGAACTTGGTGTTGGCCAGTATTGTCAGGAACTCAGCTTGGTGACCTGTATCTGTCCACGAGTATTTGTTTCATCTCCTCTAACAGAATGAGCAAGGTCCGGGTCGTTTTATAAGTATTTCCCATGGACAGAGCAATCTTGATGTACCATGGTAGCAGCCCCTGGATCATTCAAAACTGACCTGAGATGGTGGCCTCCTGAAATTCTTGGTGGTTACAAAGACAGCCCCTTCTGGAAAAATACAGCCTGGGCTGTTTGAGGGACCCAGACAAGTGGTTGCACATTACTACATGAGGGGTGGGACCCAGTAACCCCACAGATGGCAGAGCTGAGATGCAGAACACTCTTCTAAGATCTCAGCCTCTCCTCCTCCATCACAGGTTGTATGGTTGGGCTTCCACCACCTTTGGGTTGAGGAGAATATAGGTGTGTCAGATGGACTCAGGGTTCAATCCTGGCTGGGCTTACTGGTATGACCTTGGGCAAATTATTCATCCTGAGTCTTCATTTCCTCACTGTAAATGGACAGTGTCGCTGGGTCGGATAATCACCAAGTATGTGAAAATGCCCAGCGTGGAGCCCACGTACAGTAACTCAGCACCTCCCTGATCTCCAGTGAGTGGCTTGACAGAAAGAACACCAGCAATCAGGTAACAATGAGACATATACAGCTTTATTTAATAATCTATAAAAATTCGTACTCTGGCAGAGTGATGCATTCCCTACCTCAGCAGAAAGTGAACGCTAAGTCTGAAAAGCCCCTTCTTAAGATTCGAAACCGTGTAACCCTGAGCTTACATCTTGATGCCCTCAAGAGCGGGGCCCCTGCCGGGTGGCAGCTGGTTTCACTCTCCTCCCGGCCATACTCTCTGGCTGTGACCCCCTCACACAGCAGTAGACCGAAGACAATTTTACCCACACAGGCTGCCCTTACAGGTTGGCCCCTTCCCTCTTACAAAAGGGAGTTCACAGGATTAAGAATCTTTCTGAGAAATAGGTTCTAGCTTAATTTCATTTAGCTTCCCTCAAGTCTGCTGAAATCAAGGCTATACTTATTAAACATATTGTGTTCCTGTCTGTCCCTCTCCCCCCATCCATTTCCATTTCCTCACCGTCTACCTTTTTTGGGGACTGAGGGATTGAGAAGCATTCTCCATCACAGCCCTGGGAGGAGCTTCTCGCGGATGTCCGGTATGTGTATCAGACTTTGCAGAGACAACAGTTCTGCTCCGGCAGAGCGGAGGCCTGGCATTTTGTTTTCCACCTTCCTGTGCTGACAGAGTCCAGTAATTAAGCCACACTCACTCCTTAACAAAAAGTCCATGCTGCATCAGAACCTCATCTTTTATGGGCTTTTGACAGAATATATCTCTCTCTTTTATTTATAGAATAGTATATGTGAATTCATTTGGACAGAATTGGCCACCCTGCCTGCTTCTCGGTGTAACAGGCTCCCTCCTATTGGTCACAATTAATCAATAGTCCAAACAGCAGTCATGATCTTCCACATTCCTCAGAGCTGCTTTCTCCTGAAGTCACTTCGTAAATATTGTTGACCAATTTGGAACCAAAAGAGCTCAACTTAGATATCTGTTCTGCATATTTCCCCTAAAAACACCATTGAAAATGCAAAAAAAAAAAGTCCCTTTTTTGTTTTTTGCAGAAGCTCTACAAGAAAGCATGTCTAAAATCACATAACTATGCACACACAAACACAGACACACGTGCTCACACACATACGTCAGGATCAAAGAATCTTATCAGATACATATTGGGAAAGCATGGGAAAAAGCTGGCAAGAGAAGATATGGAGATCTGATCAGCTAAAGATGTTGGAATGTTACAGTAATGGCATGGAAGTGGTTTCTGGTACATACAAAAAGGGGGTGGGCAGGCACAGAGAATGATAAATCCAGGATACCAGAGAGAGAGTCAGTGGCCATGCAGGAGTTAATAGTAGATGACAGTTTTTTGTATGAAATGTTATATTATGGAGTGGTCGTTTGAAGGAAGATGGACCTGCATGGTCCAGGGGAGGAGCATCTGCTTAGCAGGACACCTCCATGGTCTGGTGCCTGTCCAGAACATCAGGGGACTCAGAGAATTCTTGA